GTTTTTCTTTCTCTTTTTTCCCTTCCTTCCTTTTCTCTTTTTATTTCTTTCTCTCGTTCTCAGTTTCTCTTCTTTCTTTCTTTCTTTCTTTCTTTCTTTCTTCCCTTCCTTCTTTTTCTCCCTTTTTGTCTTTTTCTTTTTCTCCCTTTTCCTCCCTCCTTTCCTCCTTTCCTCTCTTTTTATTTCTTTCTCTCTTTCTCAGTTTCTTTCTTTCTTTCTTCCCTTCCTTCTTTTTCTCTTTTTGCCTTTTTCTCCCTTTCCCTCCCTCCCTTCCTTTCCTCTCTTTTTATTTATTTCTCTCTTTCTCTCTTTCTTTCTTTCTTTCTTTCTTTCTTTCTTTCTTCCCTTTCTTCTTTTTCTCTTTTCTTGCCTTTTTCTTTTTCTCCCTTTCTCTCCCTCCCTTCCTTTTTTCCTCTCTCTTTTTATTTATTTCTCTTTCTCAGTTTCTTTCTTTCTTTCTTTTTTTCTTCCCTTCCTTTTCTCTTTCTCTGCCTTATTCTTTCTCTCTCCCTTTCTCTCCCTCCCTTCTTTCCTCTCTTTTTTATTTCTGTCTCAGTTTCTCCCTTCCTTCCTTTCCTCTCTCTCTCCCCCCTTCTCTCTCCCTTTTTTATTCCTTTCTCTTTCTGTTTCTCCCTTCCTTCCTTTTCTTTTTCTGCCTTTTTCTTTCTTTCTCTCTCCCTTTCTCTCCCCCCCTCCTTTCCTCTCTCCCCCTCTTTTTATTTAATTCCCTCTTTCTCAGTTCCTCTCTCCCTATTCCTCCTTTTCTTCTTCCACCCCTTCCTTCCTTATTTTTAACCTTTTCCTTCCTTTTCCAGCGGAGATTGTGGGAAGTGGGAAAACCCATGTGAATGTCAGCTGCGTGGTCAGCATCTGCAACGGCGGTCACTCTCCGGCCTCCTTCAAGCCCTCCGGGGTGGCCGAAGCCGGGCGCCCCGCAGCCCCTCCCCTCTCGCAGGAGGAAACCACCGCGAAAGGAGATTCCCTCCGACCAATCGCGGTGGAGGTTGAAGACACCTTGGACTACTTGAACCCCTGTGGGGGGGAGCCCCTCCCGCTTAGCGTCCAGGACGCCGACATGAAGAGGTCCTGAGAACGACGGAGGGTTTTCCGCGCAGCGACTTCCGCCCTGCTCAAGAAACTCCAGGAATGACTGATACCCGGGAAGGAAGTTTGCGAAGGAAAAATAAGCCTTTTTATGCCGTCCTCCACTTGGGACCATTTGTTTAGCGACGGCCGACGTCGCAACGGTGCTGAAAAAAAA